GAGAGAGAGAGGGAAGGGGAGAGTGTTCTACTCGTAACTATAATGTATAAAGCGAAACATACTTTCATAACGTTGCTCATAACTTACTCGTAACCTACGAGGTTCTAACGGATCGTCTTATAATTAACCTCACGCGTAAATCATAACGCCGTTACCACGAATTGACCACGAATATTGACTCGTGAATTCTCTCGACGCGGAATCCATCCCCAAAATGATCTCTACGTCTAAGCGACTAACGTTGCGATGTATCTTAAAGTCTACAACGCGTCGTCCCCCCTTTGAAATAATTCCCGTGGCAATCTGTGCTAGCTGCATCGAATGCAAATTCGCCTGGCTGTTAATTCTAAATTCACCAAGTGAGACGCGTACAAACGCGCCTTTCTCTGTTTCTCGCATATGTTTCTGTAAACATTCGCGCGCGACGCAACGGAAATATTCGCATCGGAGCCCGTTAATTGTTCTAAAAAGTTACGTATAAAACAGGAGGGGTTCTTGAAACGAAAGTGAAATTGCGCTGTTGTCTACAATTTGGCACTGAAGTTGCAAACACGGCGAAACGAATATTCCGGATGCCGAATTAAATTCTCCGCAAATGCGTGCACGCAACTATCTATCCTATATAAAACCTTACGCTAATTTTTCTCGATACATTACGTACAGTATATATATATATATATATATATATATATATATATATATATCGGCTATACTTTTTCCTCGTAGTAGTACATTATTCCTATGTGTATGTATATATGCATATATGTATATGTATAATATATATATGTATATGTATAATATATATACATCTATAAACCATTGACTTTACACGTCATCACAATATTTGTTTGTTAACGCTACGGTCAGAAAAACTTGTATCCGATTCTATAAACTGTTGTATATTCTATAAACTGCTATGGGATATTCACAGGAAATATGCAATTACACCCCCCCCCCGCTTATATATTATCGTGATAAAATAAAATATATCGAGCGAGTGTGTTATTTTTCTCCGGACTATGACGGGACGATATTTATAAGCCGCGTGTGATTGATTCGGTAAATAGGATCGAAATCTCTAAAAAGCATTGCGTGAGATGCAAGATAAAAGCAATAACTGTCAATTTGAGTTGCATTTTATGCGGTGGGTAAGTAGGAGGATTACACATCTTTACACTTGGCAGTTACTGTCTTTTAGCTTATCACGGCAATACAATAGAGAAGATTACAGATCGCAATCGTCGACCGTTCAACGAAACTTACGGAGATAACGTATAGGTGTACTACGATCACGGAAAACAATACCGCCGTCCCATTGATTGTCTATCTTAACTTTCCTCGAATGGAAACAATGTATACAACGCACATACAGCGTGTTCCATAAAAAAGATATTGTAGAATATAACACGAGAACGTAAAATAAGATATCATTTCTTCTCCGTATACCGCAGCCAATAATAAGCGGAGCTTTCGATCGCGATGGAGATCCTCGCTTTTGCGATATAATTATAGAACAATTATAAGAGACTATCCAAATGTGTGTTACATCCTAATTACCAGCTAGTCACTTTCTCGTATCCTAAGGCCTTACGGCTAAGTTTCCTTACGACCTAATCCTTAATCGGTATTTTATTGTCCATGTCATGGAACATTTCCTAAGTCTATTTATTGTCTGTTCACACAGTATTGTCGGTTATGTAAGTAATACATTATCCATTTTTACAACTAAAGTGTTGTCTGGATACTAAGGAAGACCGTTATTGTCCAACGTTTTCGTTTTCTTTTTCTTATTGTCTGTAAATCCCTGTCTCGGAAAGCCGTTCTTACATGCGTCTGAAATGTACCGTAAAAAGCAACACAGATTTTTCGTCTCTGAATAACAAACTGACTGAGTAACAAACTTGACGAGCGGCGAATCTATGGATCATTTAGCTTCCTCGTCGCGAAAGGCATGCTTTTCTCGCTGCTGAAATAAGCTGCTAATGCAAACATACGCGTGTAAGTATACGTTATGCTGATTGAACGCACAAGACTCGACGACGCACCGCCGCTTAATCGAGACGCGATCGAAAGATACGTTACCGCGACGGAAGGAAAAAGCCCCGAAATTTTCGACGAAGAATCGACTCGGCGGAAGCTTGCGTCGTCAAAGTGTCGCGTGGGCAACAAATTGTTTCGCAAACGATTGCCGCAAATCAATCGAGCTTGAGTTGTCATCCCGGCCAACAATACTGCTATTCGTCTTAGCCTCGCTTAGAAAAAGTCTAAGTCAATTATTAAGGCTCCTAGATCCCGTAAACGATATATCTCGTACAAAGTATACTCACTGAAAAACGATTCTCCTAATAGAGTGCGGGTCAAAAAAGTGCTGGTGCAGAGTATTGTCCCTAGAATTCAGTCAACGTGTGTGCCTTACGACTAATGCTGAGTAACGATACGGCGCTACGGACACTAAGCTACAAGCATCTACGCTTACATACCTACGCTTCCTTTTCTACATGGTAATATCACTATATACACGTACAACTTACTTATGCTTGGCGCACGTACGTATCGAGTAGCTCGGTCGGGATACAAACAGGCTGAGCAACGTTGTCGAGTGTACGAGTTGTCAAGTCGGCCGATTTCCAATCGAGACCGAGCGCGCGGCATTCGAAGCGCGCGAGATGAAACGAGTTGCCGAAGAGTTACCGTGGAGAAACGCGCGCGCGCGCGCGCGCGCGGTCGGATTCTCCGCCGAGAGGAGAGAGACGCCTGAATGAACGCCGGATTGACGTATTACGGAACGCGGCGAATGTAAATCGCGATTTTCCTCCTTTCGTTCGCTCAGCCTACAGTCAGGGACAATTTCCGCACACCGTAGCCTCCAACGAGGCGGACGAAATCCGCGTCGAAGTTGTTCGCCGCGCGTAGTCGTGGCAGTTCTTTCGGTATCTCCTTCATCGGCGGCTTTCCCCTCTCTCCTTCTCTTTTCCACGCGAGAATTCACCTCACCGCGGTGCGAATCTCGCGAAGCTCGATCTCGGACATTTAAAACGCGCGAGCACGAACTTTCGTAAGGACGATTCGGTGTCGCGCCTATCACGCTCGCTCTCACGGAGCGGCCGCGGTGTGCGATAATTTCATCGCTCTCGCCGCGCGCGCGCGTGTGCCTACACTCGTACACGTGACGCTAGAATTTTCTTTAGCGTGCCTAGCACGCGCTCTTAACGACTGACCACACGATTATTGTACGGATAACTCTGGTTACACACACGTTACAATGCGTTTACACCGATAAAAGCACACAGACCATTGTTGCTCTTGCTCTTGTTCTTTTTCGTCGTGCGACATCTCGTCATATGGCCGTTTTATCGAAAATATTTGCGCGACGGTACACTGATGCATTTCATGCGATACGTGTACGATATGTGTTACCTATATAGCGGGTGTGCGCTTAACACGTTCTTTTACAAAAATACAGTTTATAGTTTGTATACATATATATATATATATATATGTATATATATATATGCTGTACATCTTCCTCCTCCTCCTGCTCCTCCTCCTCCTCCTCCTCCTCCTTCACCTCCTCCTCCTCCTCCTCCTCTTTCGTCCGGTTACATGTATAGTTTCTTCACTTTAATACCTCTAGTGATACCATAAGGTGCGTCTCCTCGTGACTGATTATATCACAAATCTCCGGAAAGCGTTCAGTTCCTCTGTTCATTATTGCGAATGACTGAGCAACTGAGGCCAGAATCTTACTCTCGAGCTGTGGGAATGTGTTTTACTTAACTCTAAAGATAAATTTCAGTGAAAATGACTCCAAAGTAAAAACGCAAATTTCAGTTTTTATCTCCACAGATCGCAATACTAAAAAAGATAAATACCAAGAGAAACGTAATGTTTGATTTTTTTGCGTGACTGCGATGCTCTAAGGATGCAAATTTCAGTGAAAATGACTCTAAGAAATAGAAATAAGATAAAAAGACTCTAAAGCATAAAAATACTTTAAAAGCGCAAATTTCAGTTTCTATCGCCAAAGATCACAACACTGAAAAAGAAAAAACGTAAACATCAAGAAAAACGTGACATAACATTTTTGTAAGCGACGAAAGCGACTCGATGCTCTAAGGATGCAAATTTCGGTGAAAATTTAAGGTAAAATGTTTTAGAAATGTTTAAGTGAAAAGACTCTAAAGTAAAAAAAAAGTAGCCTAAAAACAAAATTTCTATCCCCAAAGATCGCAATACTGAGAAAAAAAAAACAAACATCAACACGAATGTAAGACATACGAAAGAAGAAATCCGACAAAATATTTCAAATCCTCGTTCGCTCCGAGGATCGCCTATGAATCATAGCTTTTCTATGATTGCCGTATGAACGCATAAGCTGTCGAGCGGAATAGCAGCGTATGTAATCAAATGATCCGTGACTCGAAGAAACAAAAGAATTTTCCAAACTGAATAAAGAAAGCAGCGCCGTCTCGTCGTAGCGCCCTCACGTCGGGAACGTTTTTTCGAAAAGGAAAAGGAAACCGTCGTAATGTTCGTGATTAAGCAATCTCAATTCGAAAAACACAACTTACCGCATCGTGGCTCGCCACTATTCCGCTCGAACGGCTCATATCGCTGAGCACTGTTAAACGCACACCCAAACAGATCGAGGATCTCGACCACTTGGTGGTTCATACACACGGCTTTTCTAAAGTCGTCGGCGGCGATACAAAATGTTTTTTGTCGCATCATATGCGTGATTTTCGTTTTGTGCACAAATCCCTCAGAGTTTCAGTGTTTCAGTACCAAAAGTACGTCGGCATTTTGATCCGCTCTTTTTTCTTTTTCTTTTTTTTTTTTTTTGCTTAATAACACCCTAGAAAATGGCTCGTTATTTGAACTTGTGTACGCAAACATCCTCAGCATCCATCTGTGGCTCCGCTTACGAAATAGTATATTCTACGTATGTTTCCAATTGTATATCTCCCGTTTTCTTTTTTTTTTCTTGGTTTCCCTTTGAGTTCGAGTGAGCTTATCGCGAAGTGCCCCGTGCGAAAAATCGCAATAGAGCGGCGCGACGTCGTGTCAGTTGGGCGGGCTGTCTACCGAGAGATATCACGGTAATAAATATCGGCGTGTATTTTGGCTCTTCATTGCGACATGCGGAATAATATTCAAACTGCGTGTTATTGTCTGATACGAGGGAAGCATTTCTCTTGGCGCGACTACCTCTACGGCGGACCTTCTCGTAAGTTGATCTTGCCAATCTTGTCATTGGAGGGGACGTTTTAACGAGCAAATTCGCGTTGCGTCCGCCTTATTGGCAATTCTTTCTCCTCGATTCGCTCTTCCCACTCTACCTCGTTAGTGACCTGTTCTTATTAGTTGCGTATTTTTCTTCAGGTTCGATTAATATGACTTCAATGCCGCTTACTTTGTTGTCGCTTACTTCGTTGTCCGAATGTCAGACGGTCGAGTCGATTACACCTTCCAGTTGTCTCTGTCGTTTCCGGAGTATTTGGACATTTCTCTCCGAATCCACGGCACGTATTTGGGCACATAGGCGTAGACTCCGGGCAGTTTTGGATGGGCGCATTTGATGCCCCAGCTGACGATCCCTCCGACGAACCATCTCTCCTTGTCGTGCTTGTCCCGACACAGCAGAGGCCCTCCGGAGTCGCCCTGGAAAAGCAAAGGGGGATATAAATATTGGCAGAGTGTAACGTGCATCCAATTAACACATATGATGACGCATTGGTGACGAATTATCAACGTAGGATAAAGGGACGCAATTAATGCGTGCGCATAATGGGTACGTCACTCGATGTCACCCTGCTGCTAGGGATAGTATCTCTTATTAACGCCTACCTGGCAGGCGTCCTTTCCTCCGTCCGCGTAACCGGCGCAGATCATTCCGTCGGTGACGTTGAGCTCTTTATGCGCCAACCATACGTTGCACACCTGTCGATTGAGGACAGGAACTTGGACCTCGTTCACAGCTGGCTCGTACTCGGAAGCTGAGAACAGACGAGGGTGAAACACCGATCAGTTAGAATCGATAATCGACATTTCGCTCAGCACAGGATATCGTGCTTTGGATGAATGCTTTAAACGTGACATTCTTCCCGATGTATTTCGTTATACAACACGTACAGTCGGTATCATTTTTCTTGCCCCAGCCGATGACAGTGCAGAGAGTGCCGGGTGCGAGGTTGGTGGCAGCAGTCGGTAAGCACACCGGCCTCAGATGCTCGTGAAACTGAACTCGCTTCTCGAGCTGAAAAGAGAAGGGTTTCGTGAGAAGACTTTGTCGGATCGGATGAATGATGCGAACCCCCAGGTGACACAAAGTATTCTAAAATTATTGAGAATTTGTCGTGAGGGGTGACCTAAGATATTCTGAACAATCTCAGGATGTCTTGTGCCTGATTTGGGTCTGTAAAATTAGTACAAAATAGTTGTAAATACACGATCGAGATAGAGATGAATCGATGTACTCACCTGGAACAATGCGACGTCGTTATCGTGGGCCACACCCATGTTGTAATTCGGATGAGGAACCACCCGTTTCACCTTCAGCTTCTGGCCGAGATAAGTGTGCGAGTGTCTCCTAGTAATGCCCAACTGTATCGTCCAGCCCGACACATCCGAGTGACTGAAAGGACCGACGTTGAGAATAAATCGATTCGCATTAGACGCCCTTCGAGTTGGGATTCCAATTCCGATTCGGATTGGAGATCCCCGTTGGATCCGCCGTTAACGCGTCAGAAAAGAATAAAATTTCACGCGACATTTCCCTCTGCACATCTCTGCGAAGCGCGGACGGGGAATTTCACGCTAATCACTTACTTCCCGACGCAATGGGACGCGGTGAGTACCCACTGATCGGCGATGAGAACTCCGGCACAATAGAAAATCTGCTCGGGGCCGCCGAGGAGGGCTGCGAGAAAAGGCCAATCACCAGGTGCTGACTCCACACCGCCCACTATCCGCTTCTGAACCCTCAAGTTGCCGTAAACGGAACGTCTGCGGCCGCAAGCTGCAACAGCATCGATCGTCACACGTTGCGAAGCGGCCCCGACAACTTTCGAGCAGGTTTCGGTCAAATCCCCGTGCGATAATAATACCTTACCGTATTCGGAGCAGGTAAGCTCGACCATAGGGTAGGCCTCGTCCTTCTTGATGCACTCTTGAAACTCCCTCAGCAGAGTGGGGCTCTTGCCGTGGTATACCGATCTCGTCTTCTCGATCTGCGTCAAATTGCTGTCTCCGATTAGCAACTTGGTCTTCACCGCGACCCTGAGACGACACATTCGAACGTCGCGTTATCGCACGGGAAGAGCAGAGCAAGCTTGCAGGATGCGAAGCGACATGAAAATCCGCGGATTTAAAACGGATTAAAACTCGAAGCGACGGAATTAAAATCGCTGGGGTTTAAGGCCGCGGAAACAATCGTCCACGAGACCAATGTCGCGCCCGTTGTAGGAGTGCGCACGTTCTTCTGATAGAAAGAGAGAGAGAGAGAGAGAGAGAGAGAGAGAGTGTGTGTTGCGATCGTGCGAATAAAAATTTATACAAAACCGCATGACAACACACACGGACCCGCGCGAAAAAGGATTCTTTTCCGAATGCAATATTTATACTTCGTACATCGCGGATGGCACATTAGGAGAGATCACTTACGTATACCCCAGCATAGCGCAAATCGTTTGCGCCGAGGTCTCGTCCCAGTGCGAGATACAAGCCGGCATAAATTTTCCCTTTTCAGCGTGGTAAACCTCCAGCCGGCCCTCGCCAGCGTCTCCGTTCTTCTGACTCAGTTTCACTGCGAAGGGAAAGAGATGTATACAGAAGGGAACGCTAAATCTCAGAAGATACCAGAAGCCGTATCGAGCGTATCGAGGACAACACAAGTCCTTTCCACTCACAGCAGTAGCGCTCGTCCTGGCCCCAGGGGCAGTCCATGACTCCGTTGCAGATGTGACTGGCCGACATGCACCTCCTCTCGCCGCAGTGGTACGAGGGCTTGGTGGCGATGCCCTTCGCCGAGGGCGACTTGATGATCTTGCCGAATGTATTGGCCACCGACACCGACGTCGGGCCCGTCGACTGGCCCGAGCTGCCGCACTCGCATCCGGATTCGTCGCTGTGATCGGCGCAATCGATGTGACCGTCGCATCGCCAATCGAACGGTATGCACCTCGTGCTGTCGCACTGGAAGCCGCTGGTGCATACTGCGCGGACCAGTCGTAACGAAACGTCAGGTATACTTCTCTTCAGGATCTCATCTTCGTCTATTATCCATCTTATCGTATCGTAACCCTTTGCACTCGAAACGCCAGCACAGCTGGCGTAAATATTTACATCCCGGCAACTCGGAACGCCAGCTGCGCTGGCATGAAAAAGATTTGAAGGCAGAGAGCGATAAAACATAAAAATGAGGGCGGCAACATTGAAGGAAATAAAGGTTCTCTTTTGCAGTTGTTCTAGGAATCTAGAAATTATATTTATAATTATCGAGTTGGTGAAGGGAAATGTAAGAATATTCCTCGAGTGCAAAGGCTTAAGGGAGACCAGGTCAGGTCGCGGCGCGAGCGAGTTTATCTCGAGAGCGAGTAGCGTTTATCCGGTATCCTTGGCCGTATCCTCTGCCGAGGGCATGGAATGTTGCAAAATAGTCAACAAGGACTGCGCGAAACTGTCGGTCGACATCTACGGGGTTATTCGATGATTCGACGTTAAGATGGAGATTGCGAGAGAACAGAAGAGGCATGGCTCATGTTCGCGAGAGAGAACATCTCGCGATTCCCTTTCCGCGAGTTTCTCTCGCGATAAATGAACGAGCCAGCGCAAGGCACGGTCAACGTGAAAGCTCGGACCACAGCTTACGAGCCGGTCTCTCCTCTGTCCGTCGCACTTCAGAATCCATTATTACACGTCCATTGTTACGATCGATACAACGAACAATATAATTTGAGAATCGCGCGAGAGCTGAGAGCGAGGGAAGAAGCCCCGTCCGCGTCCGGGGGCCGAGATATGTATCGCGGACATTGCTGCAGACACGAATATTATCGGCACTCCGTGATATCGCATCGATGTGTCTTCTCACACGACGGACACGATCGAGCCTGCGCTCGCGGTCGCAGCCCGGTTCAATATTTTCACACATACGCGCTGGGCGCGATGCGTGTATACACGTGCAGCGAAGCGCGACTCAATAAAGCTGCTTGCGGCTTGCGCCGCAGATGGGCCGTCATATACAACGACAGTTTAATATGGATTTTGCAATTAAGATTCCATCAGCGGCGGACATCGTGCGACAGCTCGGCCTGTACAAAATACCGCGATATCGCGCCGTGAGCGTGCGTGAACAGGATGTCGCCGAAACTTCTTTCGTAATTGGGAAGCAGGTACAGATGCCGCCTCTCTCTCTCTCTCTCTCTCTCTCTCTCTCTCTCTCTCTCTCTCTCTCTCTCTCTCTCTCTCTCTCTCTCTCTCTCTCTCTCGAGCCCGGGACTAATTTGTCGGGCCCGGGGCTCGTGGGATTTCGAGCGGGCTCGGCGATTCGCAAACGCTGTTTGCTCTTAATTAACCGCGGACAAGTCGCACCTTATCGCCGGTGCGAGCCGGCGATCGTCGATTCAATTGAACGCAACCGCGGCGGACACGGCGCTTCCGATCAATCCCTCGCCGTCGCGATTTACGTGATATTTGCTTTGGAAATTGCAGCCCGTGAACGATCATTTAATTCTCCTCTCTTCTCTCTCCCTCTCTCTCTCTCTCTCTCTCTCTCTCTCTCTTTCGTCACGGGCTGTTATCGCGTACGTTATGGATGGGAGACGCGAGCGTGACTATCTTTCGAATCCGGTCGACAGAGCTGCGAGGTTTTAGGATTCAGCGATTCCTCTGTGTCAGTTTTCGGACTGTCGTCTGTCGAAGACTGTTGGGTCGTATGACATGTAATTTCGGATTTGTCGGGTAAAGCGTAATAACTGTTGCGTATTGGGTCGTTAATAATTTTATCTGAAAAATCCCTAATTACTCATCGCGCAACCTAACATTATATTATTACCTAACATTATACCTAACATATTGTTCAAATTTAACTTTTCCTCCCCTTTCCTCTCCTTCTCTCTCTCTCTCTCTCTCTCTCTCTCTCTCTCTCTCTCTCTAACTTCCTCTTTGGCGTAACGATCTGTGGATAATAAGCGGATTAGTCCGGCCGATCGATCGATTTAGAGAGTTTCACAAGAGGATACCAAACGACAATGGGTAACAGAGCACAAGAGGAAGACAAACAGACGGAGCATAAATGAGAGTCCCGGATATCAAAGGAAGGATGAACAATGGGATATCGGGCCAGTCGACAATTAGTTCCGTTTTGCGGACGCGGATCCTATATTTAACGTCGTTCCGCGCGCGACTCGCCGCGAGGAGACAAAAGAACGGAAAACACATAAATAATATTAGCCTGCATTGTCGTCGGCGCGCAAGATACCGGCGGACAAATATTTCGCGGTGCTAAATATTTTGCGCGATTTCGTTGACGCGAGTCCATTGGACGAAGTGCGAATTTTCCCGCGGGCCGATTATTTCGAACGACAAACAAATGCGCGCTCGCGATCCAGAAGCGGAACCAGATGATTATCCGGCAAATAAAAGGACGCACACGCAACGATGCTTTCTCGCGCGATCAATAACATTCTGCTGGCAAATGATAGCGTAGAATAACACGCGATCAAGTTCGCCTCGATCGTAGGGAACCGCTCGAATTCTATTTTCCTTATTACTCGTTATTGAAAGTGCAAAAGAAAAACATAAAAGAGAAAGAGAGGAGAATAGGGACGGTGGGGAGGGGGGGGGAAGGAGGGGAAAGGGAGATAGATAGGCCGTGGCTCGCCTTCATATTCTCGGAGTCGCCCGACTGCACCAACGAGATTACTTTAATCCTCCAATTATCAGTTTCTCCATCAAGCTCTTACCCCACAAGTCCGCCCTTGCCGAAGTTATAACGCTCTTCGGGCAGGAAAGACTGAGCGATTTCAACGGAATGGAATAATTGCGAGGGCGACCGAAGAGAGGCCATGCGCGCGTTTTCCGTCCCGCTCTTATATTAATGTAGACATCGTCAGACTTTTCGGATGGCGTGAACGCAAACTTTCCGATTGACATCTGACCGAGATTTAATTAAACATCGTCGAGGACCGGAGGGTGAGAAGGGAGAGGAAAGGAAACGAGGAGAGACGGAAAGAAGTGCGAAGCGAGCCGTGTAAATGGAGCGCTTCAGTGTGGCGAGACGGTGTGGTGAAACTTTCGAATTCGGTATCACTTACCCGGATTCTCGGCTCTTTTCGCCGCCTCGATCACCTCGCGATGCCCGATGCACTCGTCGGGATTCGAATTCTCCGGGAAAAGTTCGCACTCGAGATAATCCGGCAAGGACAGGCCGAAAACTTCGAGGAAGAAGCCGCAGCGTCTCTTGGTCTCTGAAATTGATCGAGAAAGCACTCGCCCGCGATCGGGAAAATATCAAGCGCCGGCGATCGCGCGCCGCGCGATATCCAGGAGGGGCAGGGGGGCAGGGGGAATGCGGCGATTCAGCCGCGCGTACGCTCGCCGCGCGAAGATTTTACCATACATTTACATACCACGTCACAGAGCGGCGGGAGGGGCGAACATTATTAAAATTCGCCGATATTAACCCGCAGCTCATCGTAGACGTAATCGCGCTCGATTTTCCCGCGCTCCCGCCGATCCGATAAAGACAGGCGCGCACGATTCGCTCGGATGAACGCTCGGACGGCGAAGAGGTGGTGGTGACGGCCGAGGCCTTCGTTGACCGACAGGATGACTCTGAAATTGCCCCTCCAAGTCTGAAGGATCAAAATCAATTTGACAGGGGCTGCGAGCAACGCGCCGACGACACGCTGTTAACGCGCAGCTAATCTCTTATGAGCCTCGTCAAATTTCTTGGGATTCCGCCGTGCGATTAACCGAGCGAGATGACTTGTACCGATGAAGGGAATGCAAAGTGGCGAACGATGTCGCGCGTGTTGAACGACGGGGGAGCGAGAGAGAGAGAGAGAGAGAGAGAGAGAGCGGCGCGGACGGGAATTATTCGGTTAAAGCGAGGACTCACGGGAGCAGAGGCTGCGGCACGGCCGGACGACGTGACCCTGAGGTCCGCATTTCGGCACGAAAACGCTGCACAGGAACAGAGCAGCCAGTTCGTAACATCTGACGTCGACGACGGCGTCGTAAAGCTCCAGCTCGTGCTGGGCCTCCCGCTGTCCGAAATTGCCCATGTAATTTGGAAACACGGTATAGTTGTACGGGATCTGCAATTGAAATGCGATTTTGACGGATACGAGACGCAACGTCCCCGAGAGGGGAGGGCAACGCTGCGTAACGAAGCTACGCCGCAAGAGAGAAAGAGAGAGAGAGAGAGAGAGAGAGAGAGAGAGAGAGAGAGAGAGAGGCGAAACTCTCGCGGAACAATCGTTATCGCCGCGACCCCGTGACGACGTCGTCCTCTCCCCCAGCACCGTTGAACATCCCGCCAGTGACGGTGGTGGTGGTGGCACGACACCTTCGCGATTTTCGTCGCTGCCTCCTGCGAGAGGGATCCTTCGAGATGCTCGGACACGTTCGTTCTCGGGACGCACGGCTGCGCGGCGGGTCGCGCCTTATGAATTTTAAAACCCGCGCCATGAACGCGCCGAAGCCGGCGGAACAGCGGGAAAAAAAGCGACGCGTGATGTGTTCAGCCGGGGCGGTCACATTGAAATTACGATCGTCGTGCCCGGCTGTTTCTAATGCCCGACGGCGTTCCTCCGGCCGCAGAAAAGCCCGAGGACGGGGGAGTAACGTTGTCTCTCTTGCTCTTGCCGGCGGCGGCAACGGCTGCTGCCCGGCCGCGACACGCTACATAGCGGGACGAATTTCCCGAAAGGTATGTCGCCCACGCACGTTCCGCGGGGAACTTATTTTGAATTCTTTCAAGGTGGATGAACCGCCCGCCCGGGCTCGCGACTACGTGAACTTTATCGATTGCGTTCCGCGCGAGCTGTTAAAAAGAGTCGGACGCCTCGCGTCTCGTGAAAGAGCGCGACACGCGCCCCAGGATTCCAGAAAAGGAGAGAGAATGTCGACGGGCTTCTTCTCCCCCCCCCTCTCTCTCTCTCTCTCTCTCTCTCTTTTCTTTTCTGTAATATTTTGCATTGCGATATCCGGTCTGTTGCTCGACGCTTTTTACTCGAGTCGTGACGACTTCGTCTCCGTATCTTCGGCGCTCGCGGTGAACTTGCGGAAGAACATCGCGACCGAAAACCTGAAAATTGAACGGTGTCGACCGAAGATTACTGTAAACGTCCATCCTGGAAACAAGAACTCTGATAACTGGCCATTTTATCTTGTCTGCCGACGGAAATTCGCCCTTAAAAGCAAGAAGACTGTCCTTTTCAATCAGTAAATCGTTTTCAGTCATTGCGAGCGTGTTTTTACACGAATGACGTGCAAACGAGAATGTTTTCGACCGCGGTAACGGAGATACAGTAAAAAAAGTAATTTCAGAACAAGCGGAATCATCTAAATTTTAGAGGATTTTATTCTTACATATGGCCTTAAGAGGATTCCTCTAAGATTAAGATGAAAATATTATGAAAAGATTATTCTTGAAGTTGGAGGAATTAAATGTTATATGTATAATGCAAATCTTATTGATTTTAATATAAATCTCCTTTTATACACAGATTATTTAATCTTTTTTTAAGAGGATTATTATTTATTCTTACTGTACTTTATTCTTATTGGTTCTATTGATGAATTTGAAAAAATTATTATAATATACGGCGAGATATATATATATATAGATGTACTTCTGACTCTACAATAAGTAGTTCTACAATAAGTAGACGCGAATGAAATAAAATCATCATAACAAATAAATTTCCAATCCGTTTTGTTATGGACTTCATAGCTACAAAGATGTTCATCATAACCAATTGTATGAGACATAGTTGAAAGAAGGAATATATTATTCAACTTCTTGCAATAGATTATAAACTGTATTTGACCAAATATGGGTAAATTACCTTCGTTATATGTTACAACAACACACATACCTTTTTTCAAAAACATTCCAAATATTCTGACCTATGAGCATGTGGTTATCTTTTCGTTCAAGTCTGGAGGTAAGAGAGCATGACTGAACAAAACAGTAGCCGACATTCAAATCAACATATTCCTCTTCATATAAGAGGAACATTAGTTGATATAAAAGGAAATCCTCTTGAAATAAGAAGAAAACAGAGTAATATATGATAAATTCCAGATGAACAGTTCACTTTAATCGCTTTGTGGAAAGAGGAATCCTTTTTCTGTAAAAGGCTTCGCTTAGAATGTGAGACTATGGGAGAAATCACTTTACAGATAGAATACTTCTTTTTTCGGTATGTTATTCCTCGTTGCTAGATTTCCGCGACGTGGTCCCTGTTCATTCACACGAGAACTGAGATCTTTCCTCCGTGTCTGCACGGTTTCATCGTTAACTACCAATCCTCCGATGATAAACCGTTACCTTATGATGTTGACAGAAGTTGACGATGATGGGCAGGCACACGCCCGGGGCCGGATTCTTGTCCTCCGTCAGCAGTTGCACGCGCTCAGACATCGGTATCAGGCTCCAATAGGCGGTCCTGTTCTCCAGCTTCAGGTCGGGATACGCTGGTGACAGGAAGAACTCGTCGTGAAGCAATGTCGCGCGCTCTGCCGTACCGCCGCCCGCGCCGGAACGAGCCGGGGGTGACTTCGCTCTCTGCATCGCGCGAATCGGCAAATTCGTCGCGACGGCGGAATAACAACCGGCGCGTCCATATTGAAAACTGTCCGAGTGTCGCGGCGCGAGTCGCGGCGGATGGATGCGTTTCGAGCTCCCGTAATTATTAGCGTGTCAGCCAGCGTAGACACGTCGACGGCACGCGGCGCAGAACTGCAACGTTCTCAATTATTATCGCTTCTCCCCCGACGCTTGTGTTACGCTTACTTCAGGCGATGACGTAACCATTTTGGGCGGGACGGTAGTAGTTCGAAACTATTGTCTCTCGCGTCAACTCAATGCGTGCGCACGGTATTTATTATCCGGCAAAATAGAGCAAAGTATTTGGTAGGCGCAAAAATAATTGCGGTATTTAACACTTTAAGTTTGGCGCGGAATTTTTCCCGAGAGTTACCGTTATCTTTTCCAGAATCAATAAATTTGTTTCCCATCGGGAGAAATATGTGCGGGCCAATGGTTTTATATTTGGATTAGTAAATATAATTCTTAACTGATATATGCGTCTTTATACTCGATACGTAAAAACCGCAATAATTTTTGCACCAACCTATTATAAAGTGATACAGAGAGAGAGAGAGAGAGAGAGGCTCTGTTAAATTAGAAATATCGCGGTACACGCGTGTGCGCGAAAGCTTCACGAGGACTATCTTCTGCTGGTCGCTAAGCTAATATTGATATTCGCGACTAAATAGATTGCGAAGTTATTGATCTTTCAGTCTCGCATAAACTCGTTGTTGCACATATTAGCGTATTAAAGCGCTTAACGAGAGAGAGAGAGAGAGAGGGAGAGAGAGAGAGAGAGAGAGAGAGAGAGAGAGAGAGAGAGAGAGAGAGAGAGAGAGAGAAGGAGGGAGAGAGAAGAGACGAGCAACCGTCATCCATTTGAGCCGGATGGTCTGCATATCGTTCGCTGTGGTTTTTCAATGCGCTGTTCATACCGTTAAAAAGTGAAGTGTGTTTCTCGGCTTATCTCAACGTTCACGCACGATTATACTCGGTTTTTCTATCTTCGACACATCGATCTTCGCACGATTATCAGTCGCGCTCGTCGATATCGCGCTGTTAATTACAACGGGAAGTATTTCGATCGCAGTCGGATCAAGCCAAATATGAGAAAAAGGGGGGCAGGGGAGAGAGAGAGAGAGAGAGAGATTAGGGGAGAGAGGACAATGATGGAACCGAGGCGATTTGGCTCAATGGTAAACTCACTTCTGAAGTACGCGGCCAAACCACCGGCGATGGCCAACAGGGCAACCGCGTTGAGCAGAACTTGCACGAATTTGAAACGCAGTCTTCCCGTCGTCACGTAGTGGCTGCTGGTCATGTCCCTGATTATCTGAACAGACAAATGCGAGTGATGAAGGAGGCACGTAGACGCACGTCACGATGTGCTACTAATTAGGTCTGTCCTTTACCGCCAAAGCAGCATATTAAGCTCGAAGCTTAAAAGGAAATATGGATACATAGTTGAGACTTTAGGTGGGAAAGAGAGGATGATAAGAGAGGATAAGAGGGAGAGAGAGAGAGAGAGAGAGAGAGAGAGAGCGCGCAAACTATAAAGTGCAAACTAGTAGCGGCGAGAAAGAGCAGACCGATTGAATCATTCCGAGCTTCTTTCACGAGCCATCACGTTACGCTCGGGACTCACACCTTGTGATGCAAGGAGTTGTTGTTCCCCGCGTGCATCCTGACGATAGTCTGCAAACTGGCCGGCGTACTCGTGGACTTCGTTATCGGCCTGCCGGACGAGTTGTCAGGTTCCGACACCAAGGCTCTGTCTGGAAGGTGTGAAAGATCGATATCGCGCTTGCCCTCCGCAAGCGCGAGAGAGCGTCGACACGCCGGCGGAGAGTTCGCGATTGCCTCGAGATAAAAGTGAGTTCGGAAGGTGACGCCAGACGAATCGTGCATTTCTTTTCGCTGGGTTTCTCTTGTGTACTGCCACCGATGAATGGGAAAACTTTTCTCGCTCCGTCTCGCTCAGTCGCTTCGAATGGACAGCTTTAAATATCGCGACGACGAGCGACGAGAGAAAGGGGAGAGAGAGAGAGAGAGGAGGGGGGGAGGGGGTAGAAAAAATCAAAGAAAACAGGACGACGAAACAGAAGAGAAAAACTTTCCGTTTCGTTCCAGCTGTCTCGCGCCTCAGCCCGGCGCGCTTATCTGTCGCTCTCGGGAGAGGCGACGCGACGTCTCCTCGACGAGTGTCACCCCCACACAGGCGCAAAATATAAAGAACTTTCAATCTATGGAATGCACGCCGCAATATCGAGCGCCGGGAATGTCATGAAACGCGCCCTCCCTCTCTTTCTCTCGACCTCTCTTCGCCTTCTTTCTTTTCCCGCGCCTTTCCTTCTCCCCCACTTTATTTTCTACTTATTTTTATTGTTTGCTATCTCCTCCCGTTATCGCTCTGTATAACTTGTACATGTTTTGCAAAACTATGCGCGAACGTATGAATGAATAAAAAGGAGCAATGCGTCTCATGCCTGCGCCAGAGACCTTGTTTACACCTTGTTTGCGCTGTATGTTTACACAATTTATGTTTATAACTATTATTATTTATATTTACATGTAAAAGTTGTGTTAACTCCAACGCCGGGTTCATCAAGACGTAAGCATTAAGAAATCAACCGATCACACCGGTCGTTTATTTATGGGCCGTAAGAAAAATACTCTACATGGTTGCTTGCCAGTTTGCTCTTACACAATTTATGTTTATAACATTATTCTTTATATGTACGTGTAAAAGTTGTGTCAACTCCAACCCCGGGCTCACCAGTTTGCTTCAAGACGTAAGCGCTAAGAAATCAACCGATCACACACGGTCGTTTATTTATGAGCCGTAAGAAAAATAATCTGACGTGATTGTTTGCCAATTTACTCCTCCTGCTTGCTTACGGGGATAAGTCTTCGTCAGGGAGCGTTATCGTCGCGCTGCGCTTTTTCGCCAGAGTTCCCCACGGAACTCGCGCATCGAACGTACCTGGCACTTTGCCGTGCTTGTGAGGCAACAGGGGGGCTTCCATTGTCTTGCTGGTGTAACTGGGCGAGCTGGTCTGGCTGAAACTGTCCGACGAGACGTTGCTGTCCTGCCGGACGCTGATGGGCTTCGGCACAGGACTCTGGCAAATGGCGCTCAACGGCGGCGGCAGATTCGTCTGCGTAGCCTTCGGCAGCTTCTCGAGCTTCTCGCCGGCGGCTCGCTCCTTTCTGAGATTATGCTGCAAAATATTCCTAGCCCTTTCCATGTCACTTTCGTATTTGCTGCGCGCAATCGGATGCTGCTGTTCTAAAGCCCTCTGCTCGGCGTGGCAACGTCTATCGAGATCCTGCGAGGTTCTCTCGAGGTCCTCGTATCTAAACGCAGCAACGTGTCGCGAAATTCGCGTCTTTAAACTATCATCTATCGTCCAGACCGTCGGGCGGCCTGGATCCGACCGATTTGCGTTCGCACTTTCATCGGCGAAGGGCAAGAGGAGAGAGAGAAAAGGGAACAGAGAAAGGAAAAGATAGAGAAAGACGGGAAACGCGGGAGCGTCGAAGAATCGCGTCGAGATCGACCGAGGACACCGAAAAGTCGGCTCAAGCGGCAAGATTCCTGGCTAAATACCTGGCTGGTTTGTCCTTGTTCATCCGTCTCTCGATCTCCTGACGCCGCCGGTAGTCGTCGTCCTCATGCAGACGTCTCTCCAGGTTCTTCGAGGCCGCCTGCAGCTCCTCGAACTTCGATCTACCGCGCTCTACCTCGCGACCAGGCGTCAAAATCGTCGTATACTTCGACTCGTCTTCAGGAAATACCTCCCTCTGCGACAACGCCGTCTCCTCCTTGGGCTTGCTCTCGGACGGTTCTTTCTGCTCGCAGCTCCTGGACTCGTTCTCCTTTCCCAACTTCGACGATTGATGCCTGCCAAGAGAGACCTCGTTAGGCGCTTCCTGAAATCCGACTGCTTTGCTCTCGTCAATAATAGTGCTAGTCACTGATATTTCTCCTTAATTATTAGGTAAATCGGAAAGTTCCGTCTGTTTAGCGGCAAGTAGCTACAGCTAGAACTATCGTTAATCTCTAATGTCTAAACGAAGCTTAATGCTTTGTTTGGACATCTGTCAACAACATTCAGTGTCTAAAGGTATACGTTTGCATCAATAACATTGTTTTTTACTGCATCGAAAATGTCGAAATTTCAGCCGAATAAGCGTCATTTGCGCGAAACGTTAATCTTTTGCTTCAATTGGAAGAAAACTGCAGTTGGAGCTCATCGAATGCTTGTAGAAGTTTATGGTGATAATGCTCCTTCCGATAAAACATGCAGAGAATGGTTTCGACGCTTTAAAAGTAGTGATTTTGATGTAGAGGACAAAGAGCGTACTGGACGACCAAGAGTATTCGAAGACGAAGAATTGCAGGCATTGGTGGACGAAGACCTATGTCAAACGCAGAAGCAACTTGCGGAAGCATTAAATTGTGCTCAATCTGTCATTTCCGATCGTTTGAGAGCCTTTTTTACAAGGGTTTTTACAAGGAAGGAAAATGGGTCTCATATGAACCGAAGCCGAGAGACATTGAAAGGCGAAAAAGCACCTGCGAAATTCTGCTTGCTTGGCAACAAAGAAAGGGGTTTTTACATCGTATCATCACTGGGGATGAAAAAGGATCTATTTTGACAATCCCAAACGTCGAAAAACTACTTGCGATCCCGGCCAACTCTCAACATCGACGCCAAAGCGGAATATCCATGGAAGGAAGGCAAGGCTCTGTATTTGGTGGGATCAGAAGGGTGTGCTGTACCATGAGCTGTTGAAAAGTGGCCAAACAGTCACAGGGGATCTCTACAGAGAAAACAAATGATCCGTTTGAGCCGAGCATTGCACGAAAAACGGCGAGAATATGAAAAGAGACAGCATAAAGTGATTTTGCTTCATGACAACACTCGGCCTCACGTCACAAAATCTGTCAAGGAAACGTTAGAAGCACTTCGCTGGGAAGTGTTACCCCATGCGGCTTATTCACCAGACTGTGCCCCTTCCGACTACCACTTGTTTCGGTCGATGGCACACGCACTTGCTGACGAATGTTTCAATTCTTATGAAGACGTCGAAAAATGGCTCTCTGACTGGATAGCCTCCAAAGATGAGTCATTCTTTCGCCGCGGAATTCGCTTGCTGACCGAAAGATGGAAAAAAGTCTAACGATGGATAATATTTTGATTGATGTACTTTTTCATTTTGTTTCTTAAATAAAGCCATATGTTTTGCGAAAAAACGGACGGAACCTTCCGATTGACCTAACCTAGCTTCTTAACACTTTGCGGTTCTATCGATAGCCTTAAATATTACCCTAAGACAATTTGCTTAGTAGTAGACATTATTAGTTTATTGTTTATTAACGATTCAAAGAGAAAAAAGAGCGCGAACGATGTGTCAATTTGTCGGAGTCACACAGTTTTACCTTAACATCTAGAGTGTTGCGTGCGATTGGAACATGTTGGTAATCTAATTGCACTGTATGTTGTGTTAGATTGGACTATTGTATCGATCTGAATGTATCTGATGCGCGCGAGAATATTATTTCGAAAGAAAGCTCTTCTGCAAAAGTATGAATGGACCAGAAACGCAATATAAATATTGGTCGCAATTTAATCGATCGCAACTATGAAGCGACATATTTTCGGTACATTATAGTCTTGTATCTTGGCATCGAAAATAGGGCCTTTTATAGTCCATAGGGCTATTATACACAGTCTGTCCCAGATCCAATGAGACTGGTCTAAAAAAAATACAAAGCGTTTATTATTTTGATTTTTTATTCTTGTTTATTCAAAATAGTCTCCTTCTGAGTCAATACAGCGCTGGAAACGTTCAACAAATTTTGCGAAACATTTTTTATACTCATCGGCTGGAATGGTCTTTAGTATGGCGGTCGAAGTCTTTTGGATGATGGGGATTCCCGAAGGAATCCGGCAAGCGTGTCAGCCATTGTAACTGGTGATGAAACGTGGTGTTTTCAATACGAGCCAAAAACAAAACGTCAGAGTGCGGCATGGAAGTCACCAGAAGAGCCAAAAGAGAAAAAATTACGCTTTCAGAAGAGCAAAATCAAGACGATGCTGACCGTTTTCTTCGATTCAAAGGGAATTGTTCACAGTGAATTCGTCCCAGAAGGTCAGACGGTGAACGCAGAATATTATCTGGCAGTTCTACAACGATTGTGGGTCAGAATTCGACGAGTTCGACCGGAATATCGAGAGCCAGGCAGTTGGTTTTTGTTGCACGATAATGCACCATCGCACAAAGCCATCATGGTACGTGAATTCTTGACCAAAAATGGCATCATTGTTATCGATCATCCACCGTATTCACCTGATTTGGCTCCGTGCGACTTCTGGCTATTTCCCAAACTGAAATTGCCGATGAAAGGAAATCGTTTCGATACCATCCCGGTCATCCGAAAGACTTCGACCGCCAATTCTACTAAAGGCCATTCCAGCCGATGAGTATAAAAAATGTTTCGAAAAATTTGTTGAACGTTTCCAGCGCTGTATTGACTCAGAAGGAGACTGTTTTGAATGAACAAGAATAAAAAATCAAAATAATAAACGCTTTGTATTTTTTTTTAGACCAGTCTCATTGGATCTGGGACAGACTGTGTAGTCTTGTATCTTTTATCGAAAATAGGGCGGTGTGCTCGCGCAAACTTCTATATATAATCGCGCAGTTCGTCGAGATAGAGTCCGAACTTACGTCTCGTTTAACGAACCTATCGCGAACGTAATCGCGGCCGTAACATCTTGCTCCAGCTTGACCCGGGACTCGAGTACCGTCACCGAGTCTGCGGTACGCTGATGTGTTCCGCGGTGGGAAAACACGGCGAGAGCTCTGCTTTCGAGCAGTTTTCACCCGAGAGTTTCAACTCGAAAACGGGCACGTGGAAAATTCACGAGAACGACGATTATAACGGGCGTCGTATGCTAACAATATTGCGGGTTTCGTCCATCAAGAGAGTAAAATAAATACGGACACAAAGGACTCGATGATCGTTCTCCTGTCGAGTGCAATTGTCATTAACACATTGCATGCGGGTATATTTCGCCGCGGACTTACGCGGCGTGTAGCGGGCGTTTTTTCGTAAATTTCGCGGGAGTTTGGTCACTCAGTAAAACCGCAATAAATCGATAACCACTTCGTTTTTCTCAACGAAACTTTTTTTATTTTACACTTAAATATATGCTCTACGATTATTTAAAAAAAAAACGACTTTTTTCTTTAATAAGTAAATACAGAATAGTGAATTAAAAATGAAAGGAAAATAGACAATTTTTAATTTTACTATTTATACAAAAATATTTTTTTCATATAATCAAGTAACTCGACAAACTAAACTTCTAGAACGAAACAATGGAAGTCGTTGCCTAACAACACAAACACCATACACACTTACAATGCCCATCGTATTTATACGATACCCAAGCACAAATTCTCCACACACAGTTCTCCAGCGCAAATCTACTAAATACGTACTTTTACGTGACCCGCGCTCTAGTGACAGGCTGCAAAAAACGTAAAAGTATGTTTCCCGCACGCAATGTGTTAATATGTTTGTAACGGGACGCGAGGTCATGAAAATACCAAATCTCCGCCGACGCTCCCGAGCGGAATTGCGCGTAAACGGTCGCGTGAATAAACAATCGAGCATTATTACCTATTGTGGCGCGACGACGCGGCCGTCGCGTTCTGTCGTTGGCGAGAATCCAGCCGGCCATTCGAATCCTCGAACTTTGCCTCGGCGCTCTTAATAATTCTCTCGTGAAGTCTCTTCTCGAGATCCAAGGAGACCTTTTGCAGCTCCTCGAAGCTCGACTTTTGGACGAGCTTGCGTCCTTCTTGGAAGTTCCCTCGCTCGAAGTTAGCGACGAAATCGTTATGCTCGTTCGTTCCCCGCGCGTCCTTACCGCTATAACTCAACAAGTAATCCTGCAACCCACGGAGAGACGAGAGCATATAAATGGATTCCGTCCCGCGAGCAGTCACGAGAAATCCTTCTCGGTTAGAAAAGCTCTTACACCAGTTATGTATATTCAATGTACATAACTCATACTGGCTTAACTCTCCGACAGCAGCGGGAAAAAAAGAGGGAGGGAAAGGAAAAGAAAAGAAAATGATTTGAACGGACGTACGGAATATTCAGCTGCAATATAACATTTACGTTTAATATGGCCGTCAGCCATATCAATTTTCGCGCCGAATTATCAAAGGAGAGTATCGAGAATTTCGACTGACAAAGAACATCCGCGAAGTGTGTGTCTCCGATTTCGACGAAACTTGATATATTTGTAGAGTAGCCAAAAGTAAGAGACCCATATTTTTTTTTTACCGGCGATGGCTCAGGTTTAAGGGGTGAAACTGCCCCCCAAAATTTTATCCCCTTTATGCTATCTCGATAATTATTGCAGATAGGAAAAACCTTTTTAAACAAAAAGTGTATGGCATAAGAAGATAAGAAAATAAGAAGTACAATTTTTGTTTAAAAAATTTTTCCCTATCTGCAATAATTATCGAGATAGCATAAAGGGGATGACATTTTGAGGGACAGTTTCATCCCTCAAACCTGAGCGTTGCCGATAAAAGAAAATATGGGTCTCTTATTTTTGGCTACTCTACAAATATCCCCAGTTTCGTCGAAATCGGAGACACACACTTCGCAGACGTTCCTTGTTAGAGTAAAAAATACGAAGACACTCGATCAGTCACCTGCGACGTTTGCTCTTGATTTCGGACGGGACCCAGATCTATGAGTTTCTCGTTCGTCGAGTCCACGCTGTTCCACTTCATCATTGACGAAGGTGTGGACGAGGGATCGCTCGCCTTGCGACGTGCCGTTTGATTATTGTCCTGTCTGGTCGTGGATTGCAGTGGTATAGGTTTTTCATTCTTGCTCCTCTTCGGGATCGCTGGCGGTCTCAGTGGAATCGGTGGCGGTGCTACCTGTATTAAAACCGGAGTGTTTGCAATCTTCTCCTCTCGCGTCTGTGCTTTTATTATTCTAACGTATACACGTCGGAGTTTCCTAGACTTTGTTTACCTTTTTTCTTCTTCTTCTTCTTCTTCTTCTCTTTCCGATGGTAAACTCTATACTGTCGACCGCATCCTCTTTTTATCAGGTAACCACCCTGTTAACTCTAATCCCTTCTTTCCCGGTGGTATACCAAGCGATATTTCTATCACGAGATTTCTTGCCTTGACACCGTCGTTTTTACAAAGGCAGTAAGCGGCAATTTTTATGCGACAATAAAATTATATATACATAATTTTGGGAGCTTCCCGAGAGAGAGGTAAATATTTTACCTGTCAGATCAAAGGCGCTCATATTTCATTCTTACGTCAGTCACCCCTCTTTGCTGATGCTACACGAAATTCCGCGATTTACCCCACAACTGGATTGAGAATTGGACTGAAAAATTTATCATTATCTCCGCCGTTTCCGACACTGGGAGGAGTTCGCCGGCAACGAGTTCATAACATTGCAAATTGTTCCGGAAGTTACACGCAAAGTTACGAATGCTTGTTACAATCCGCAGACAAGCGTCGAGTTAAACTGGCTTGTTAATAGGAGGAAAGTTACACGCAAGTTAATTAGCTTCAAACATTTATCGTCCCACGGCGAACTCCCCCAACGCGAAGTCGCGCTTCAACACCTCGAGTGCTTTCGACTCGTTTAACGGTCTCGAACGTTGCGATTGTCGCGAATCTATATTTAAACCTTGTTTGCTGATCGATGCTTCAAACCTAAGGGGACACTCGTCGGTGTTCATGAAAAAAATTTTGGTGTAACTTCGCTCAATCTTATTGAGAATTATCTTATTGAGAGTCAATCTCATTGAGTGAGAGTTCCCTCTCACAAGAAATTTACACGCGGAAACGGCGAGCTACACGACGAAGCTTGTTGTACTATTTTTGGCGTAGTATTGTGTAATTACGTCAAGGCCCGTCGCTACGGCGATATTAATTCGCAAAGTGGCGGCATGCCACTAACTACCGGGCTTTAGCCGCATGATTTAAGGTTACGTGGTCCGCTGAGATACCGACGATGTGGTCGCAACTTTTCCAACTTACCTGCGTGGGACGGGAGAAGATGCAAAGTTTGAGATCCCTTTAGCGCATCCCCCGTGTCTCCCTTAATCATTACGATAACTCTCCCTTTAATATCTTCCCATTGTCCGATGCGAAGTCTTTTATCGCAACAGCGATAGCCGACGTACCGTATATCGAACGAGACGCTAACGCGCATAAGGTCGACGAGGGGGGAAGCGGGAACGGGGGGGAGGGATGGGCGAAAATAAATAAAATTTCTTACCGCCGGGGTAGCGGAATGTCGACGTGGTATTGGCGGCGGCGGTGCATCACTTCCGGTGGGTGGCGGTTCCGGAAGCAGGGAAGTTCTCGCTGGCAGACCGATACTGTGAATTCTGCTCTGCCTGCAATGAAAAATGGATTGCCACTTAATATTTGTCAGCCACCAGAGACGAGATGAGTCTCCGAACGTGACGAAGGCGACTTCACAACGACCTGCCTCTCAATTCGGAAATTGTCGAAACAATCACAGCGCCGTGAAAGCTCGCTTTATCGTAGGCACTAATCGCAAAGTCTCTGCAGCGAAGATGAGCGAGCTCTCGCCGTCAAGCTTAATGACCGTCCAGATGCTTAAGGGAAAAATTGAGTCGCAATATTAAACGTACTCAACATTAAAAGAACTTGGTGCATTGAATGTTCGATTAGTCGTACACGCGATATCACGAATAATACTTATATAATATGTTTATGTGCGAAATATCTACATTATTGTTCGCTGCCGATAGTCATTTCGTGCAAAATGTTATCTGTAATTACAAATGTGTAACACATCCTGAGAAAATATCGCAATTTTATGCCGACGATTGATCACGGAAAGCTCATGAACTTTTACAGCGTAACGTTTTCCAATGTTGATATCTAATCGCTCAAATGTTATACTCGCCGTGCTGCTGCACGAAGCAGCTGCACAGAGACTCTCTTCTGCAATAAAAAGATAAATAAAACCTGAAACTATCTCTTGCGAGGATCCAAAAAGGCGTATATAAAGCGTCGCTATGCACTGGGATATGTTCACTATCAACCGTACAGTAAACACCAGTTCAGTTTTACTAAACACAGAAAAATGAAACTGTCGGGTCTAACGTTGACTTTCGCCGTCATCTTTATGCTGGCGGCCATGTACAATACTGTGCAAGCAAAAGCATTAGCTGTCGCTGCACCCTGGGCCGATGCTGACGCTGCACCCTCGGCCGATGCTGACGCTGCACCCTCGGCCGATGCTGACGCCGCACCCTCGGCCGATGCTGACGCTGCACCCTCGGCCGATGCTGACGCTGGACCCTGGGCCCATGCTGACGCTGGACCCTGGGCCGATGCTGACGCTGCACCCTGGGCCGATGCTGACGCTGCACCCTCGGCCGATGCTGACGCTGCACCCTCGGCCGATGCTGACGCTGCACCCTCGGCCGATGCTGATGCTGGACCTTGGGCCGATGCTGACGCTGGACCCTCGGCCGATGCTGACGCTGCACCCTCGGCCGATGCTGACGCTGGACCTTGGGCCGATGCTGACGCTGGACCCTCGGCCGATGCTGACGCTGGACCCTCGGCCGATGCTGACGCTGGACCCTCGGCCGATGCTGACGCTGGACCCTCGGCCGATGCTGACGCTGGACCCTCGGCCGATGCTGACGCTGGACCCTCGGCCGATGCTGACGCTGGACCCTGGGCCCATGCTGACGCTGGACCCTGGGCCGATGCTGATGCTACTAACTGTGATGGTAAGAGCCCCCCTGCCTGCCATGGTTAAGCCAACGCTAGACCTCTTGCTAATGCCAACGCTGGACCCTATGCCGATGACGATACTGTACGTATAATTTGCATTCCGATATTAGTAGCAATGTTAATTGCATCTTCGCCGTCAAATCGGTTGTAAAACGTTATTGTTGCATGTTGTAATTGCGTACGATCTAAAATAACGGTTAGGAACATATTATATTTCACACATCGTTCCAAATATTAAATTATGAGTATTCCTCTCTTGAAATGTTATATAAATGTTGTTAAAGTCAGATGCGTACTTGTTACATACAATGCATATACATAATTTTTTAAATGTGTGTTAATATTGTTTTTCTTTCTTTCTATATTTAGATCGATCTTATGAAAGAAGTGATGAATGCAACGAAGTAATACGTAAATAAATAATAATATTCGATACTAATATTAGTGAAACAACTCCAGCTATGTAAAGGAAAGTATTGAAGAAATATGGGTCAGCTATTTTGTTGAAGAATAAAATTTTCTGCAATCATAAATTTGTCGTTTTCTGCTATTACCTGCCAATGCGATATCTCGAAAAATTCGACAATAATTGTTGACCTAACTCTTGTGTGGTAAAACTTGCGCAGTTTACAGCAAGCACCAATCACAATATTCATATAACTGGCATTCCACATCATCCGTACTAAAGTTAGTCATATTGTCAAGTGTAATGAACACCAATATTTCTAAGATTTCATTGTTACGCGTTAAATTTTCATAAAAGTATCTATATTTCGTGATTTATTTGTATATATCCACATTTATTTCGGAAAACTTGAATAGGCAATATTAA